CAGCCACCCCTCTTAATGCTTCCTTAGGATGGATTTGGCATCACCCCACCCCAGGTGTCCTAGCAAACGCCCCCCAAACACCCTAGCAGCACGAGCACTTGGGTGGCTACCAGTGACACAGTCCCACCAGCCCAAATGGTACCGGGTGAGAGGTCGAAACACAGTGACAGAACCACAATCAGCAGTACCAAGAATCCCAAAAGGACTCCCCCAACGCGACAGGGGTTTTTCTGCTTGCGTTTCCCCAGGGAGTCTTGGGCACAGGCCTCTGGCTCCCTGATGTGTACACAAGTCACAGCTGTACACCGCCAAGGGAGATACAGGCAGGGGAGTTAAACGCAGGTTGTCAAATCAGCATCAGCAGTGAAAACACCACTCCCTGCTCCTGATCCAGCTTTCGCGTTACCCCGCAGCAGCCCTGGCTCCCCTGGTACACAAGGCTCGTACTTCTAAGGGAAAGAAACAGGGGAGCATTTGAAAAATCAACCACCCACAAGCCACACACAAACTCTCCCCCCCATCTGCCACCGAGCAGTCACCCACGCCCTCCTCGGGGATCGCCATCGCTCCTCACAGAGCCCAGGGCACTGCATGCCAGGGAGAAGCACGCTCGTCACAGAGCGATGCAGGGATGCAGCTCGGCATCTCTACCTTCTTGGACTGGAAGCACCCAGCTGCCCCCCAGCACTTACTAACACACTAGTTGCCCCATTTGCCAAGGGTCCGTAGGTGAGGTAGGAATGGCCCGTTATCCATCCAATGTCGGCCGTGCACCAGTAGACATCCTCAGGTTGGTAATCAAACACGTATTTAAACGAGGTGGCAGCAAAAAGCATGTATCCACCCACCGTATGCAGCACGCCCTACGAGGAGAAGGCACGCAGCCGTCAGGGCAAGCTCCCACCAGGGCCCTCGCCCTCCCAGGCCAAGCTGAGCATCACCAGCCCACTGAGCCCGAGCAGCAGCAGCCAGCACAGCCCCTTTCCCAGGACCTCTGCGGCTCCTCTTCGTACTGGGGCCTCCCAGTGTGAGCCTCCCCGGTCCCACAGCTGCGGTGTCACCGCGGGGCAGCCCAGCCCCGCGGGCTGTCAGCTGGGAAGCGAACCTTGGGTTTCCCCGTTGAG